CTAATTTCCTACTCGGTGCTTTGGAGGATAACTTACAAAGAAATACGATATACAACAAGCCTGTGATGGTTCATTTGGGTAAATCCAGAGACCTTTCGCATGTAGAATTTTTCAACACTGGAAAAGACTAAGCCATACTTCAACAATGCCGGAAAGAATATCTATCCAAAGAGCATGATGTTTCTTCTTCATTTTATCTGTCAAAATTGAAAGTAACTATTCAGTAACGATTACACAAAACATGTTATCAAAAAAAAGACACAGAAAGATGATTAAAAGTTCATATACTGCTACAAAGATCTGAACTGGCATACAATGTCGCATGGCTGCAGTGCAAAGGGAGAGTGTGACTTTCGTGAGAAGTGGAATCCGCTTCCAGCGGAGTGAAAAGGAAAGGGGGAAGGGAGCTGCATGGGCAGCATCTCAAACTTGCACAAGAAAAAAAAAAAGGGTGAATGAGTGTCCTGTGATCAGTGAATGGAATCTGCTGCAGAACCACCATTGGCTCCAATGAGTCACATGACCGTAGCACAGCCTTACGGTGAAAAGCAGCACACAGCATGATTGTCAGCTTCTCGCTCTCTGAGGCGAATCTTGACACATTTATTTTGTACAGAATAATCTACCAGAAGAAATGTAACAACAGCATAGCACCCAAATGATGTGACATATAACACTGTCTTTAAAAGAATAAGTGCAGCGCTTCCAAATTTACAACGCCCATCTAAATCTCTTCATATAGCACAAGCAGGAATAAAAACTATTTTGTTTTCATTGCTAGTCTGTAAAGGTACACGTACATCACAATGCAAGTGTGGATGATTGTGACTGCATTATAAAATTCGGCTTGAGGTGGATGAAACAGATGAAGGCAGGACCTAAGCATACTATAATATTGTGTGGTTCTGTCAAAATCCCAAGAGTGTTTCACTCAACATTTGCATTCCACTCAAATTTGGACTGGTCAGTGAGGGACTAACAGCCCAGCAAGTCACATGACACATATGCATTAAAACAGAGTAAGGCACAAGAAAATTCAGCAGCACAAAATTGGGTTGCAGTAGTCTCAACCAGACATGGCCAGAAAGTGGGTCAGGACACTATTTAGGGAAAAGGGGGACAGCAGGATGAGCTACGTGAAGGAACGGTGGCTCAGTGGGAAACACAGGACAATTTGTTGGCGGCCAAATATTTAGAACAGGGTGCAATGGATGAACCCCCAGCGCCCCCACCCACACCCACACACTCACAACTATGACAAAAAAAATTATCTAAATGGAGACGAGTCCCATAGCATTTCAACTGAATTTACTGGCAGATGCATTCCAAGGTGCTGACATAAACTAAAGTAGGACCTTCCATAAAACTCGACCAGGCCACTGAATTCAGTTAAAGTTCAGAGATAAGGACAATTTACAGCTATTAAAGGCTTCCATTTTAATTTTTTTATTTTTGGGGGGGATGAGGGGTGGGGGAGGTGAGACTTGAGTTGCATGGCTGTTGCTATGCCTTTGAATGCAGATTGCATTCAATGTGAATCCTGTTGGCATCTATTGGTTATCCAAGAATAAAATAACCAAGAGAATCCAAGGTGTTCTCTGCAATTATTGTTCCATTATATAACCACAGAAAGACGATTCTGTCAACAATACAGACTAAAGTATCAACTGCAGGACGTCCTGTGCAAACTCTGTTGCGGATACAGAGAGTACCACCTTGAACTAAAAAGAATACATCCCCACTAGACAAATCCAGATATTATATATATTTGCACATGGATTCTCGATTTGCTGTTTTGTGTCTGCATACCACAAAGACAAAAACTAGACCATGTACATTGCCGTAAAAACGCTTTTTGAAAAAAACTGTTTCATGCATCAATGTGTACAGAGTAAACAGACCTTATGTAAAATAATGACGTAAGCAACTCAGACAAGGTCAACAGGTTACATGTTTCGATGTGGAATCTCTTCTAAATCCATCATGTGGATTCACCGCTATTTTAGTAAATGGTATGAACTGAAAATTGGAGTTAGTCCTTGTGTTTTAATTTAATAGTTAGTCTTCTTTTCATGATTATTTAAGTAATCCTTTTTCATGGATATGTTCCAACAGCAACTGGCCTGAAACGACAGCGCAAGGGATATTGTGTACAGCTTTTTGACATTCCGATGGGACTCCCCAGAGAAACGCCTCGAGCACCGACCAGATGATAATAGCAGTAGCCAGCAACAATATTTCCTGTTATTGAAACAAGGAAGTCGACTTCGGGGACTGTTGCAGCTGAAGTTGAAGGCAGTGAAAGCAAATGTTGTTGTATGTTTAAATGCATCGGATATAATACACACAGCCATTATTAATAGTGTTATTTTGTGTGTTATTGTTGAAGGTACGCTGTGACACGAATGCACCCCCTTCGACAAATCACTCGATAAATCGATAAAACATCAAGGAGTTGTTTCTATTGACATGCGAGTCTTCTGGCTGAAGCTGTATCCGTACTTTTTAGCCATAAGTGTGACTCATTGATTACGGGTGACAAATTCACTGCGACAGTTCTGCACTGTTGTTTATCTCTTTCCAATTCTGGTCAAAATTATTCAGAGAAGTGTTGTGTTTGAGTGTGCAATGAAAACAGCTGTCAGGCAGAATTGCAGTCTCTCAAATGCTTTACATGGCGATTACCCAGAAATAATTTCTGAAGTTAGTCATAAGTAGCCCCTGTGGAACACAGCTTACGGGCTGCAATCCAAGCAGACTTATGTAACGGCACTTAAAGCCACACTTATGTTTGCCAGAGGTTGCAATGCTTCAATAACACCTGTCAGTGTGCGACGCGGCCCCTCAGGGTCTGGAGCGAAAACTGTATTGCGCAAACTGTAAACTGTAGAGGACATAGCAGAAGAATCAAGAGCACTGGTAAAGTGCTCTTGATTCTACAATGAAATACAATGAAATACAAGTGACTTTGTATTTCAACGGTCTCACATTTTCCCCCCCGATCAAATGGAGAGAGCATACCAAATTAATCAAATCCAAATGTCGAATATAATCCCCCAGAAAACCAAAGAAAGAAGTGAATATCTGCTTTCTCGAGCCCCTGACAGGCCAACCACATCGCTAAAACAAAAGTGGAAGTCTTCAAATGCAGAAAAACAGTGCAAACGTGCACCAACGGTTAACTATCACTTAGAACAAAATTGCTTCTGTTTATACGGTATATGCACAGTAAGACAGAGCGCAAATCAGTTTCAAAACATTGTCATTTTGTACATCCATTAGAGCCTGAAATACGGTTCAACTTCAACTTAGAAATTGTGTAAATCTTTTCAATACCTACCTGTGCCCTTTGGCTGCGTGTGTGTGTGTGTGTGTGTGTGTGTGTGTGTGTGTGTGTGCGCCTTAGCTCTCTATTAATAGATAGTTATTTGCGCCCTGCGCTAAGGAGATTTAGTCTTACAGCATCCGCCTGGCTGCTGGTGGAGAACGCTTATTGTCATCCAAATAAAGCAGCACCTGTCTTGACACGACAAGGCTTTAAAAAGACATTGACGCCACGCTTAACACAGGTGTAATTATTCCAATTAACAAAGCACGGATAACTGGATCAACAAGCGTCTCTCTAATGATATGAAAAATAAGGTTGGTCATGGAATGAACGACAAATTTTAATGTTAAAGCATCACGGAAGGAAGGATGCACGGTTTCATACTGGGCATGCACTAGGGCTGCGAGATATTGGGAAAAACAATAGGATATGGGTGTTGAATGAAGTGATATGGATGTTATTGTGATATTTAACATGTGCCCAAAGAAATAACATTGTTATTATCTCATGAAAGATTTTTTTTTTCATGCGGGAAACATAAGCACACTGGATGTATTCTTAGCTCATTAATTGTAAATGCCCCTAGATACCGTTCTTCGATTGGTGATGCACATTTTCAGTTGCACTGGACTGGTCAAATGTGGATCAATGCATACAATTCCATATGAAATTTATTGCATGTCTTTGCGATATGCAAATAGCATGAGCCATTATCACGGGAACATTTTTTTTTTTTAAATATACATATACATTGTGCATCCCTAATTGATAGTATCCATCCATTCTATGGACTGCTTATCCTCACTAAGGTTGCATGTAAGCAGAAGCATCCGAGCTGACTTTAGGCGAGAGGCATGTCAAAAAAAAAGAGAAAACATAAGCAGTCATGGTGCCTTGCATTTTTTTAACAGAATAATGACAAATATATCATGGTATTATGTTATCATAATATAAAATGGCCTACAGTATATGGCAGGACACATGTTGACAAACAACCATTCACACTCACTTTCAGACCTAAGGACAATTTCGCGTCTTAAACTAACATACTATGCACATTTTTGGAATGTGGGATTAACAATGACTTGTGTAGCTGAGCTGTGGAATTAAATTGGTCGATGTATGTCACAGCGGCAATCCCCACATCTGTTGGTGGACCACCAGCTCTAAGCGATGCCATCAATATAAAGGAGTCCTTTCGGGCCTTTTTGGCCTTTGGGACTCCAGAGGCAGCTGATAGGTATTGTCAGACTTTGGTCCGAATTGCCGGTAGTAAGCCAAATTTGTTTCCAATGAGGGTTGGACTCCATCAAGCCAGCCCTTTTGTCACCAATTCTGTTCATCACCTTCATGGACAGAATTTCTAGGCGCACTCAAGGCGTTCAAGCGGGTCCGCTTGGGGGGGACTCAGTATCGCTTTTTGCAGATAATGTGGGACTGTTGGCTTCATCAAACCCGGCCCTGGATAAGCGGCAGAAATTAAATGGATGGATGGAATTTGTAATGGAACAAGTTTGCTGTTGTTCCAGTTGAGTTCCTCGTCATGGAAGGTGTGTTATTAAGCCGCGTTCTTATGCGAGGAACAAGTGCATGCTTGCCAGTATTACATAACACTGCGTCAATAACATGCAATATTCATGTAAACAGGTGAAGGGAAAAAAAAGACACTTACTGCCATCACCAGCTCAAAGGGGTACTTGTACACCCTCACGGGTGACTGGTACTTCTGCACCATGTTTGGAACTGCAGTAACACCAACAACCTGAGAAGTAGATTTGAAAAAAACAGTTAGAAATGGTCATGTGAGGCATCACAACAGCTGTAAAACCAATGCCATAATTATAGCTTTATGGCTTCATCTGATTTTGCAACAGAAGACGAGTGTGTAATTAACTGTTGATGTCTTTTCGAGGACTATTTGAATCCTATGCGCGTGTGCACGCATATGCGTGTGTGCATGCACTGTGCAGCCTACAACATGGATCAGAAGGGACGATCAGAGAGGGCAACAGGGATGCCACTGACCAAAGAATTCAGAATTGGCTGCACGACAGACAACAACAAACAGCATCACTGCAAACTAGAGTGTACAAGTTAAATAAGTACAGTGGAACCTCAAAGGCCCCGGAAGTCATAAAACTGATAAAATGCAAACACTCATAAGTAGAATTTCCGTCTAAACTCACAGCCCCTCTATTTTTAGTTGTCTGTATCTCTTCTGCATCGTTATATTTTTTCAAAATGCTACTTGTCAAGACTGAACTGCCAAACTAAATTAAAAAAAATTACAATTTCAAGCAAGAGGCACTATAGCCCAGCATTGCTGTGTGGTTCAGCATTTCACCAATTTATCACCAGGTATGACAAGGTCAATTAATAGGAGTAACATGCAGAAAACAAATGCTCGTAAGTTGATTTGTATTGAAAAAGCGGCTACACCCAAAATAGAGTTCAGTTCCTGCACTTGTGCAGCCACCACCACCTAACCCCCAGCACAACCCTAATAGGTCTCATCCGAATTTTAAAAAAAAAACAACAGCAAAGTAAGTTTGACTTTTTTTTTTTAAACTCTTAACACAATTTGAAGATGTTAAATAAATCTCAATGAAAATCACACTACAACATTGTAGTCTTGCAGGTTTTACCAAAGCATGAGCGAGAGCTAATAAACTAAGGCTAAGAGCTATGCGTTCGACTTATTAGTCCATATTGAACTCAAGTGCTGACCCGCACGGGGGGGGGATTTGCTTCAGTGTTATGACTCACATCATTCAGTGACATTTTGCGGATCTCTCCCTAGATTCAGGTGAAGAATGCAGCGATTTTGCTTACAGATGGATAAAGCGGTAACAATTGAGATGGCTGAGTCCATACAATAGAACTTTATGATAAATCCACATAAAAAAACAAGTTTGTGCGACATCACACAAGGCATTAATATAACTTTGGAGACTCCAGCTTCGTGAGTACCGAAAGTAAAATAACAATCGCCACAAGTGTGTTGACTTTTTTCATGTGCATTTGTTACGCCACATCAAATTTGATGACAAACATTGAGCCGCAATTGGAACTTCCTGTAACGAGGCATAGTGTACCAATACAAAAGTGGTGTATGTCTCAATGTCCTGGCTACTCATTCCAATGGGAAAACATTGTTCAAAATATTAACAAATTGTGAACTGTGGTCGATCTCGGAGGTTCCACTGTACAGCTACTGCTCAGGTCGCAAGACAGCACTCCATTTAATAGCATACAAAAGCTGTTCACGCTTGACAAAATTAATGCAAGGGAAACTTGAAACAGTTAAGGAAAGATGCTACAGCAGCCGTGACGCAAGTAGGAAACTGGATACTTTTTTTGTGGAAATTATGACTCAAAGCAAAAAGTGCATGCATGCTTGATATCAGTTCAGGGAAGTGAAAAGAGTTCTTAGGATATTCGTGTTCTGCTTGTTCGGCAAGATGATACATGTTTGTGAGCAAATGCTGCAAGGGAGGCTGGGAGTCGATGTCCCAGTCCTACTTAAGGATGGATCAGGGTAGGTAGAAAGACGACTAATAACCAGGCGAGGACACACAAAATAATAAACACACTAAAGCTATGTTCACACATCAATAATTACCGTCATGCTTCAGGGTCTGTCAGAAACTTTGGAGACACGTCAAAACAAGACGTCAGGCGAACACATTTGCACATAAATTGCTGTCAATTGTCCCGTTTTCTGATCTATCTCGCTTTTATTTACATTTTTCTTCGCGTAATGTCATTCTGTCAGAACAGTGACCAATTTATGTTGGCTACATACAACTACCATTCATGTCACTTAATCTTATGATCGGATGCCTAGCACCGAGACTTCCTTAAAAGCGGATTGATTGCTATACAAGCTCGTTTTAAATATAAATGGACAAATTGTGTGACTGTTCAAGTTTTAAAATCAAGCTATGGACGCTGAAGAGGGGGGGCAGTTGTGGTTCACCGTTAACAGACATTACACAACAGAGTTGCTGGCTGCTAAACAGCAAGCCAAACACCAAGTTTTCAAATTGCTGTTGAGTTGTCAGCATGTAACTGAATATTTACTTACCAGTTAATTAAGTAGATGCTTGTCTGGAAAGGGTTTGGGCGTAATATTGGTCGTTTCTTCGGCTATCCCAGTGAAGTGGCCATTCCTGCCATCGATTCTCCACTTCGCCGGGCTCCGGCAGATGAGCTGGCGCACAAGCTAGCGCTCGTTAGCTTTGCTGCGCTAACTAGCCATGTAGCCGCTGAATCAAGCAGCCGGTTAAATCTTCCAAACGGTCTGACGGCAGGGGACGGGGAATAGACTTACGACCAAGCAGGCACTCATCAAGCTCAGATAAATCCTGCTGTGGTGGATGAAAGATGATCAGGGGAGGACCATATCTTTCTTCCAGTTTCAGTCTCCTCCTCTTGTCTCTGACGTAACCAAAACGTCATCAACCCGTCCACTGACGTCGGCAGGTTTAGCCCACGGAAAAAAAAGGTTTAGCCCACGGACGAGTCCGTGGTTTAGCCACTTTCTCATAAATCGAGAAAGAAAGAGAGCGAGAGAGCGAGAAAAAGAGTGGCCTCCGGAATCTACTGAAATGCTTAAAAAAATACCTTAAGGGTGGGCAATTAATTTTGCAAAATGATCACATGAGGAACTGGAATATTTCCCGAGGGCCAAGCCAACATACATCAACTTGTCATTTTTAATTAATTTAGAAAACGCATATTGTCTTGCTTAAATAAAGTGATGTGTGTGTAGATTTGGTATGTAGTTACAATTACGAAATAAAATTGTAAACAAAATTATAAACTGTCCATAAATTCCATCGATGCACTTGGAAAATTATAACATTAATTTTGTGCACCAACTGCCAACTCATATTAGCCATTCCTAAACAGGACTCCTAAATGCATAGATAGGCTTTAAGTATCTATCATATTATTGACAGTTTGACGGTGATGTATACAGTGATGACTTATACAAATACGTACAGTATTGTAAAACCCTTCTGTGTGGTCGCTGATGCAATCGGTTCACTTTTTAATAAACAAAATAGCAACAAATAGGACACATTCACAGTAGAGTTGCTGATGGTCACAATTCACGTCCACACGCTCCACACTCAAACTGACTGCCCGAGCCAATCTTCCGCTAACCTGGCTAGGCCCCTCTCACTGACGTCAACCCCGACTCACCTTGTCCCGTCCTCACACAAATAACAATAAACAGATATTACTCTGCCCTCCCCTTGATAGAACCGCTCACCCTGAGGGTTCAACAAAAAAGTCCTCTAGCCATTGTGGACTTCGCCTCTGTCTCCGGGGCCAGCCAGGGCCTGAGCTGATTCTGCTTCCAGCTGGGGGGGAACAGGGACAACATTGATGGGATGTGGGGAATAGTACAAAACTGCTGAACAAGTAAAGAACATTAACTAAAAATTCATTTTGTACATTTTTTTCACCAAATCAACTCATTTAAAATTTTAATATTTCGGTACTTTGTCCTTCATATATCCCTAAAGTGTTGACCTACTCACCTTGTAGTACCGTATGGGGAAGTACAAGACAGTGTGAGCGCAACTAAGACTTGTCTGCCATCTAGTGGTGATTGGTGATATATTAACTTAAAACTACAGTCGACCCCTGAAGTGCATTTTCGTAGTTTGGCACCTGTGGATGCACATATTGGCACCGGTATTTTTTTGTAGAAAACATATTTTAAATGTTTTTCAGTGTTTCTTGAAATTTGTTTGATGTTTTTTAATGGAAAAAAATGATCCAAAAATGTTTTTTTTTGACAATTACTCAAGGGACCACTCAGTGTGGTGGACAATGTGCCGCCAGTTGCCCATCCTTGAAGTACATAGAAATAATGATGATCTCATCTCAGTTTACTCACAAACATACAGTACGTGGTGAAGTGAGCATTTTGGATCTATTGACTTGAACACTTTCTTCTGCCATTTAGTGGAGAAACACACTATGTACACTATACTGCATCTGTTTTCTAAACCGTTTATCCTCTCGCGGGCATGCTGGAGCCTATCCCAGATCTCTTTAGGGAGTAGGCAGGGTACACTGCTCACAATCACACCAAGTGACAATTTAGAGCAGAGGTCACCCAACTTTTTGAGAGTGAGAGCTACTTCATGTATACTGATTGTGTGAAGGGCTACCAAATTGATACACGCCTGAAATAACATTTGGACAAATTACATTTAAAAATATTAAAATGTGTTATTTTTCATACTTAATGATTTTAATTTTCAGGCTCTGATCATCTGAAAGATGTCTCACAATACTGCCAGTGTTTGCATTTTTAAATCATAATTGCTACTAGCAAATCACAATCCTAGCACTGGCGGGCTATTGGTGTGGTCCTCATGGGCTACCTGGTGCCCACGGGCACCACATTGGTGACCCCTGATTTAGAGTGTTCCATCAACCTGCCATGCATGCTTTTGGAAAGTGGGAGGAAACCAGAGTACCTGGAAAAAACCCACGCAGGCACAAGGAGAACATGCGAACTCCACACAGGAAGGCCGGAGCGGAATCGAACCCTGCACCTCTGCACTGTGAGGCGGACGTGCTAACCAGTTGCCTACCATGCCGCCTATTATTATTATTATTAGTCGTAGTAATAGTAGCACTGGCAGCCCAATGTCGACTGGTTAGCACATGCCTAGGTGTGAGTGTGAGCATGGATTTATATAGCATGTCTTGTCACAGGTCAATAATTAATTTTGTCTTAATTTACTCTGAAAAATATGGTGTGTTGAATTTACCCAATTTTATTTCGTCAAGCGGTTGCACGAAATAATCTGAATCCAGATACATTTTTTAAGTAGACTATATGTCTACTAGGCAATCAACACAGTACGGCTATGACTCTAATCAATACGCAGTGTCCCATTATTGTGGTTGCTACAGCGGCAACTTTAAAGCCCTGCTTCACAAGATTGGTAGCCCTCTGATGGCTGGTTAAAGTAAGATCATGGACCCTTCTCCCTTTCTGTAGTACATGTGAGAGCCCAATTTTCAAAAAAGTTTTTATCATATTAAATTTTTACTCCTGTCAAATATTTGTATGTTCAAGTATTTTTACTTTTACACAGTGAGAATATCCTGCGACCACAATGAGGACAAACTGTAAAGCAAACGGATTAAATGTTTTTACATCAGTCAATCATTACGAATGAATAAATGTTTTAATTCTTCAGGAAGATCATCAAGAAATATTGATAGTATGACATTTAAAAAAAACTAATTGCTATTCATATGAAATGTGGGCCTGCAGAGAGCAGTGTGAACACAGGAAGTGGTTTTCAGTGTCTGTGAAACCATTGTGGAGGAAGTGTGGCCTCGCTTGGCAGGAAACTAATCTCAACAGTCAATATACACCCCAAGCAGATCAGTTGCTACCATTACCCTTGTGCATTACCAGAATGCTCATGTGCAGCGTTATTAAATATTGATCAAAAGATAGAAATCATCAGTAGGTACTTGGTATGAATTCAACATGTATTATCATATCTGAAAATTTGAAGCCTTGACCTCATTAAGAGAACATGGAGGATGATAAGATGTATACTCATTGATCAATACATTTATTAACACATATTCATTGATGTTTCATCAAGAACATGTCAATTTGTCTCGCAAAGGTGAACCGACTATGAAGCTTTATTTTAGGCAAGATACTGGCACCTAGACATCACACGATTTATTGTTTGCCCATTTTAGCTTTTATTTTCAACCAAATCAATATATGCAAAACATAAATCCCAATGGCTCATACCGCATCTAAAGAGGAAAAAAACTAAAACAGGATGTGAAAAGGAGGTGACCTGTGTTAAGTTATTTGGCAAAAAAGAGTGAGGAACTAAGTAATTGGGTACAGCATAAAAGCGACCACAGGCAGACTTTAAGGAGGGTTTCATGTTGTGTCGACTGGAAACAGGAAATGATGAAATGATGCAGAGAGAACCAGTGGCTCCTAATCTCATTCATTGTACATGAGTACATCCAAGCTTAAGGTAAGTCAGATGCACAATTTTTAATCGTGATTTTTTTTTCATGCGCCCATGGAAAAGAGATACTAATGTCATGAACAGCTTGATCATTAAAATGGGCACCGAGCAAAAAGAAGTGGAGCCTGCAGCTCATCTACCTCCACCAGAACATGGATCACCAGAGAAGAAGACGAATCCTCCTGCAGATCATCTGGAGGGGCAAGCAGCTATGTCCACGGACCCTCTCGACACATACAAATGGCAAACTGCCTCAAAGGAATCGCTTCAAGAGATGACGGGAGACGGAGCTGCCTCTGCTGCAACTACAAATGAGAGGATTCAAAAGGGCAACAAATGGAACAAGATGCAATTGTGGCGTAAGACACTGAGCGAGGAAGACAAAGCAACCAAGATGAACTCAACGGGAAAGAATCCCTTCCGAAGAGCCCTTTCTTTGCCTCCCGTGTCGTTTTTTACCACCCTGACCCCGTCCTCCAACTCTACCGGTGCACCACAAGGAGAACCGTCATCATCCTCTGCTGCAGAAGCCACTTCGGACCCCGAGCAAGGAGGAGGAGGGGCCCGCTTCAAAAAGTACTGGAGGTCTGTGTCTCAGAAGCTCAAAAGGCCCAAAGTGCACAGTCGGAACAGCACCCCGACGTTGTTACCAGGTGAGACGTCTCAGTGTGTCATTATTTGAAACTGGGGACACCAACGAGGTGCCGGCGGGCACCAGGTAGGCCCACATGAGAAGCATGCAGGCCTATTCTCCCAAGAGCTCATCAGCTGATAACACATTGTGATTTTTCTAGGAATGTCGTAGAAGTGATCATTTGAAAATGTAAACACTTCCAGAGATTTAGGGGAAAAAAAATGTTGCACGTTGACAATGATGTTTCCTAACGATCGTGTGAAATCAGTATTAACAGTGTCTTCAACATAAATTAATATTAATCATTAATTATTCACAACATATATGAGTAATTTGAGCAAATGTGTTATGTCTGAAGTGTGTATCAAACTGGTATCCTTGTACATTAATCAGAGGCCAAGAAGTCGCTCTCGCTTAACAAAAATTTGGTGACCCCTAGTTTACATAATGATAAATGTGATGTTTCATTCGAGCAAGTTGTATGTAAATTAGTTACTATTACTGTAAGCCAGGGGTGCCCAAACTTTTTTAACCGTAGATTTACTTTTCGATCAACCAACCTCCGATCAACCCGTTACCGCGCACGCGCGCATGCACACGCCTGTCATGATGAGCAACAGCCTGACGCGGATGCACGCGACCCACTTTTGCAGCCTGTTAACTATCGTAGCTCGCGCGTACCGTTTTAAAATGCTTCTCTGGGCCCTCCAGATTCCCATTCTTTGCCCGTACACTCGGTGAATTGTACATGAAGCAAACTCTGAATGAGAATAATAATAACGATAAAGGATACGGAGCAAGAGCTCAAATCACAAGCTGCAATTATAGACTGCTGAGCGCTAACAACTTCCGGTGACGCACTTCATGCGCCACCGTCGGTTAAAGATGATCTGCTTTAGTTTATTTTCTTTGTTCAATACTTTTTGTGAAAGTAAGACTGATAGGATGATTAGGGCGCAGTGTGCATTAACACAAAAAATTAGGACTAACATGCACAGAGACATACAAATGTTGGTTTGCTTTTTTTTCCTCTACACCCCACGCGATCGACTTGGGACCAGTCCGCGAGCTTCCGGTCGACCGCGACTGACGTAATGGGCACCCCTGCAGTGTCAGCGTTGTGCTTTCATGTGTTTTCATTCATCATTTCGACACATACAGGAATGGAGGGTGATGATTCCTAGTAACTTATTTAATTATTGGATGCATGGAGACAACCATGTAAAAAGTCATAACATTAAGTGTATCCACATGTACAATAAAAGCTAAATAATTCCAAACAGACACACACTCACACACTAAAACTGCAGAAAAATCTTTAAATTATTCATGTCCAAATTAGAATTTTGGCCTTTGGTCAAAAAAGGATACAAGAAAGTAGCAAAAAAAAAAAAAGTGTAAAACGGGCCATGACTGCAACAAAAAGAATGAGACAAAATGTCTGCCCAGAAGAAAATTTTGAGGAGGCGTACCACACCAAGAAAACAGGTTGATTCAAAGTCATACAGATTGTTGATGGATTTCATTTGGCTCTAAAATATATTCTGATGCATTGCTATGCTTCAACCCTCGGACAGATTTTGGTGGAAATGGACACTGTGGAAAATTCACAGGAAGTGTGGCAGCTCTGTATATCTTGTACAGGCAGATAGCATCACTTTCTACTTTTCAAATGGGAGTGGCGAAGGGTGATGGGGAAATGGGTACAAAACCCAAATAGAAAACAAACAGAGGCTCGGCATGCGCATGTAATTATGGTCCAGTTCTTGCTGGATGAGAAAAGATTCATAATCTGTATCCTGTGTTTTCTAAACCGAATAAAGGAAAGGTTTAGAGTTGCATCAACGCATTTTGGTTAACTCTATGCTTGCTTGTCTGCTGACTGTGTTTGGGTGAAGGTGAGCACGAAGCTGTGTCCACAGAACTCCAGAAACACCAGTGGACGCAATCCCCGGAGGTTACCTTATGGAACATTAGCAACTGTGTTCTTCAAGATGGACAGATTCTCATCTGTACCGAGGAAGAAGTAACCTTCACACACCCAGACACACACACACCCAGACACACACACACACACACACACACACACACACACACACACACACACACACACACACACAATCTTCTTTTCAGTTGAAAAAAGGTTTTTGCCTCTGTCCCCAGCCAACAATGTGGACCCGAAACCGTGGTAACAGCTGCCTGTCCAATCTCAGCATGCAGAATCTTGTGGACATCGACGCAGGTCAATAAAGGAATCATTCTATTTACAATAGTGACCGTTTCCATCCTCACTTGCCTCAAAAACAGAAGCGCTACCATACTGACATCAGCTCAAGGAGATGTTTGATTCCCGCAGACATCCTCAGAGGAAATAGCAGAATGTTTATCCGAGTATGAATGTCAAATTGCTTCCTCTTTTTTTTTGGGG